ATAGCTCTCAGGTCATTTGGATGCATAGGTGAGTTGAGACCAGTGCTTCCAAACCCACAGAATTTTCTCTTTTACTTCTCTGTGGCTGTTTTCTTCTCCAATCATAGCCCCAAAGTAAGGGCAAGGGCATGAAGGGAGAAATGGAAGGAAAACCTGAGACTTTTTTTAATTTTAACTTTTCTCAGGTATTGATAAAAATTGAGTAGTCCCCAAACGAGAAGTATTCATTACATCATTACTTATAGTGTGTAAAGTATCTGTAGATGTTTACAAAAATGGTTCAAATTGTAATTTTTCTGTCATAATAGACTTGGAGTTACAGATTACTATCCCAATTTTAGACATAAGGTATGTGAGGCTTGGAGAGTCTACTGTTAGAAATGGGTTTATTAGTTAATAAATAAATAAACCATCACATATGTTGATGTCTTTTGTCTCAATTGGGGTATTATATATGGATTTTAATGAAGATAACTTTTACTGAACAATCTACAAAAAGATATATACAATGTAAAACACTGATCAAGTGATGCCAGACAGAAAAGAAGAATTTCTTCCATCCGTCCTTCTCCCCCCAAGGTAATGGAGAGTTATCTCCAGAGCAGTAAGGTATGATTGAAAAACCTCATCTAAATTGAGTTTTAGGTCAACTCCTTCTTGTCTTCATTAGGATTCATTACCAATTTTCTAATCTTTGGGATCCCAGAGCACTATAGGCGACCAGAACAATGTCCTTGGACTTGCAGAAATCCAGCAGTTTGCTCTGGTTGAGATAAGGGTGACATTCCACCTGCAGAATCCCAACACAGAAGAGTGTCAGATTAAGTGAAAAGGTTATATTAATATGGCAGAGAAGCGTTAAACTTTTTGACAACGTTAAAGAAAAAATTTTGTAACATAGAATTATAATGGGAAATATCCACATCAAGTAATAGTTTTTTAAAAATAAATTTTATATTTCTGTTCACTGAAAAGGTAAGAAACAATGACATTCCTGAGAACAAGCAACTCTAGGGACCAGACCTGGATTACTAATACCATTGCACACTGCCAGGAGCCATGCCTAATTCCAAATTTGGGACAAGAAAACAACTGTTTGAGTGTTGGACAGCAAACTGTGCAGAAAGCAAGAAATTCCTCAACGACTCATGAAAAAAAAAGTCCAAAGGACTAAAAGAACCCACTTGATGTGGAGACCACGCGTGACAGTTGGTTAGATTTGAGCATCAAAGGAATATTGAGCAACAATAACTGTAACAGACAGAATAAATCAAAGTCCATGAGCCCACAGTGATGTGAGAGGGAGAAAGAGCAAAAATATTTGCCTCCACTCATGGTGATTATTACAATAAATCCTTTCTTGGAAACTGACAATTAATGGGAAAGAATTCATTCTTTAACCCTGTCTTATGGGAATAAATTACTTCTATCCTGATTTAATGAGGTAATTTTATTTTGACAATAAACATCAGGTCAGAAGCTCAAAAAGAATGCTTAAAGTTGAAAATTATTTTCTAAACATCTCAATGAAATACTTAATTCAAGTAAAAGTCATTGATGGAATTCAGCCACTATGAAAAATTGGGGGGGAGTCTCACTTCCCCTGAGGACAGTTATCACCCGACAGATGACCGGGTAATTTCAATAGGGAAAATACACATTTCTAAAGGAAAGCTCTGGCCACCACTAGATTTATCACGGGAACAAAGTCAGCATCACTCACAGAGGGACAAATTGTCATACATGCTTCCTACTGTAGCAATTTGAAGGACACAGTATACAAAGGACATTTCTTGCCAAAATGTTTAAACTTAATGTAGTAAGGGTTCAGAGGTAACTACTAATTTACATGAGCTAGGAATACAGAAACGAGTTAAATAACATCACAATATAATCATCTGATGTCTATTACATTGTCAAAATTCAGCCTAGATGTCATGGTTAAAAAAAATAATAATTGAGTTACCATTTTAGCTAATAAAAGCTTCAGAAACATGACTCAAAGTGACATGGGAACCATGATCAGATTCAGCGCAACAAAATATTGTATACATACACACACACACATATATGTATGGCAAGTGGACAAAATGTAAAAAAAATTTGCATTAAGAGGGAAAATATGGATACTGTCCAGCATACCCTAAACTTTTCTAATATCTAACATTTTTGCAATAAAAATTTGGAGGCAAAATTAGTGCTAAAATCACATTAGTTTTTTAACTATTATAATTGAAAATATTGCATATGAATATATATAGGAACTTCATTAATTCTGTGGGTTCCATTTGCCATAGAAAACTCCTACTCCTGGATTTCAGGTTGTACTTGAAGACATTATGTTATATCCAAAAGGACAGTCACAGAAAGTCAAATAGTACATGACAACAGTTATATGATATGTCTAAACTAGTCAAACTCATAGAATTACAGAGCAGAGTGACGGTTTCCAGGGGCTGGAGGAGGGAGAAACCGGGAGTTGCTAATCATGGGCTTCCAGTCTCAATTACACGAGATGGGCAAACTCCAGAGACCTGCTGGAGCGCACTGCCCCTACAGTTAACAGCGTTGCACTGCACTGCGCTGCATAGTGTTGTGCACTTAACATTGCCTTCAGCTCTCCCGTTAAGTTTTCTCTCCACAGTAATGTAAAAATACAAAAAACTTTTTAAAAGTAAGAGCACAGAACCAAACAGAGAAAAATGTGTTTAAACAGTTAATTTTATGGTGGAAATCGATGGGAGAACCAGGAAAAAAATGCGTAAATCACAAGGTTGGCTCTACCTTCCAGACGAATGTTCCTGAGTGACTATTTCATCTACTGTTAGTATCACCATAAGCCAGTCACTTCATCCCTCAAACCTCGATGACTTGCGTAGCTTCCAGTAAATCTCCCTGGACTGTGCTTCCTGCTGGAGACCCCTCAAAGCAGAGACACCAGGACTAAGGATTCAGGCACACAAGCCCCACACAAAACTGTAACTCCTCTCTCAGCTGATCTCCACCTTTCTTTATTGACTTCCCATTGCGTGCTTTCATGGCCTTCCTTCCTGTACACAATCACTCTCATCATCTAACTTCTGGTCATCCTTTACAGCTCAGGGAAATGCCACCTTCCCCCTGACTTCCAGGTACCTATTCTAACCCTCCCTCATCTGCTTTCTCCTCCCTAGTTTCCTACACACAGTTTACCATTGAGGTCTCACCACCATTTACACCAAGACTTTCTCAAACAGAGATACCATTATGGGTTCTATTCACAGCATTCTAGTCAGAGGCTCTGCTCTCTAGAACCTTCTGCCCCACAAAGGGGGGAGGAATAGGAGGGGAGCTGAGTAGACACCTGGCTGAGGTGCAGGAAGAAGGTTGTGAGGACCAGAAGGACAGGAGAGCGAGAGGGCTCACCTGGTTGCAGACGGGCTTGTGCTTGAGCCCTGGCTTGTTCAGGATCTTCTCCAGCTGCTTGTGGTTAAAGTTGGACACCCCGATGGACTTGGCCAGTCCCGCGTCCTTGCACTTCTCCATGGCCTGGGGAGGAAGGGTGGTGATGAGTCATTTGTCTCTGGCTATAGATCAGGAGTAAATGCAGGTAAGATCTGTTAAAATGGTCGTCACCAGAATTAGGACTGATTATCAAGAAGAAAAATGTAATAAATCAAACAAGGGAAAGAGGTCATAACATAAGAATAAGAATCACAGTCTTCTTAGAAAACCCAAGACCGTATAGGACACGTGGAAGGAAGGAGATGTCTATCCTCAGTGTCCCAAATTCCTCCCCTTTGCTCCTGTATACACACTGAGGTAATGGCTTCCCCCACACCACACCAGCACGGCAGCCTTTTTAAAGCTTGTTAATTGCTGAATCCGATGGTCCACACACCGCTCCCACAGGGGGAAGACGTGAGGGAGATGCCCCCTCTCCTGCCTTCCTCCCCTGTGCTCTCTCCTCCACAGACTCACCTCCCACGTGCTACAGAGATCCACTGTGTCAAATATTAGTTTTCCATTTTCATCTTTGGGAAGAGGGTCCTCCCCTGGCTGGAAGAGAAGCAATCATTTTAGAGCTGTCACAAAGTAACTTCGCCAAGCGTAGCCCTGCCGGCAGGCACACCTAGGACCAGGACGCTCAGCCTCCACGAGGCAGGTGTTGTGACATTCGGGATACTGGTATTTGCAAAGCGGCTTGCATGGGGAGCCGTAAGGAGCGTCTTTAGGAGACAGGCTTCCTGTAACCTCCTGCACCTTACTATCTTTTGTAAGAAATAGGACTTTCCTAGGTCCTAAATGACTAGGACTCTCCCAGTGACTTGTGTAAATTTTCCCTGTCCGCTTTACTTGCCTCTATGGACCTGCCTCTCTTGGGCGGGGAATGGCAGTTATTTCTGACGTGAAAATTGCAGTCTCGATTGAGGTTATACAATCACAGCTTCTCCCCTCCCTGAACACCTGACAGCCTAAAGGCAGCCACGTGAACCCCCAAGGATCTCTGTAGGTTTGTGTGGGATGTGGAATATCCTGTCCTGCTTCAAATGTTAATGAGTGTTGAACTGACCCATGGTCATAGGTGCCACTGAGGGAAAATATTGAGATAAAAATAAAGGAAACCAAGAGGAATGCAGTGGTAAGAAACAGAGGACAACGGAGACATTTCTGATCGCTACTCCCCGTCCTGAAATCTGTCTATAGCTGGACTTGCCATTTACATCATCCAATATACTATCTTTCGTATGATACCTTGAGTAGGTATCTACGACTTGAGATCAAGAGTTCTACATAGCACAGTTGTTAGTGGCTAAGTGCAATCTTCACAACTCAGTGTCAAGACAGCCAACTGTGTAGGCAAGGATTCCAAGTCCCTAGAGAGACTGATGGTTTACAACCACCGAAAGAGAACACACCAGAACTACTCAACTTGAAAGGGTGAAAGAGGAGATAAACTCATCATGTTGGAGTGTAAGACAGTTTCACTGCCCACCACTGCTACCCCAGAAATCTGTGTTTATGACATCTACAGGAGACCCAGGAATCATCATCAGGACCGGGTGCTGAACATGCCTGACTTTATTTCCTCAAGATTTTAAGGCAAAGGTGTGAGATCGTTGGACTCTGTTCTCTTGGACGCGTGGAAAGAAAATTAAGGATTCAAAAAATTCAGTAAAAATATAAGCAAAACTTATTATTTTGGTGATTCTCTTCTAGTGTAATCACCTCTACATCTTACTAAGAAAAAAATCTTCATTCAAACAATCGTGTAAGTTACTAGACATTCTGACACAAGAAATAAAACACTTGTCATCACCCAAACTGCCAACCTTCATAGCCACGGGACAGTGAATAATATAGAGGTCCACATAGTCCAGTTGAAGATCTTTCAGTGACTTTTCCAAGGCTGGTCGCACCAACTCTGGTCGGAGGAAAGTGGCCCAAAGCTGCAGAGGTTCAAGAATGAAAGCTGGGTTAAATCAATGCTTCAGGTGATTTTGTTTCTCTTCTTTCATCTAATACTGAGACGTTTCAACAGTTTGGAAATGGATGAAAACTACTCCTTTTCTTTCTGAACTCCTTTTGATCTAACCTACCCATGTAAACTTGATATCTGATTGAATTTATCATCAGTATGCCACTCACAATGGAAGGAAAAGACCCAAGAGATAAAAAGTGTTATCAAATAGTTATCATGCCCATCATCTAAATTGTGTTGGATAGGGTTTAAAAGCAGTTCATAAACTTAGGCTAAACCCATCAATCAGTCAGTCCCCTCAGGAATGATTAGCATCTATTTGTTTACATAGCTACAGAAAGAAGTGCTTTGAACATAGTAGTATTGCAGAAAATAATTTGAGACACTCTGACTAGATCTTGAGAAATAAACCAAGTGTCTCACCTGTCACTCTCTGTTATTGATGGACATGAAAAGCGAGATTCAGAAAGTAAAGAAATTTTAGAAAGTCACCCAGGTGATAAAGAAAGCTATAATTTGATCCTTCTCTGATTTTTGGCCCCGCTGAATCACACTGCTCTGGGCTAGGCTCAGAGAAGTAAAATGACTTTCCTTAAAAATTAAAATTTAAACACAGCGATGATGAGAAAGCCATCATCATTCTCTTCTTTTTTTTTTCTTTTTTTGGATACTAGATTAA